TTGGTTGGAGTCACAAATTGCAATATATAGCAAGAAAAGCAGCTTACAGGTTCTTTGTTGAAGAACTTCGAAACAAATTTACATTATCATTCCTAATTAAAAACAAAAGCCAACAACTGTCAGTAATATTGAGACACAGGAAAACACAGTACAGAATCCTAATTGATTAAAGAGAAAGTAAAAGAGAAAATTTTTTCTACCTACAAGCAGGCTGTTCAGGACTTTGCCATGTGAAATTATTGTAGGAAAGATCCCTGCACAGAACAGAACAGAATCATCTTCTAAAATATCTCTTCATATAACGATGATATATGCACATGATATATATATATATATACACCTTAAATATATAGAAGAATGAGAACACAGCAAGAAAATACATACACTCCAGTTCCTGTCTTCGAGACTGATGCTGGTATATTTCCACTGAGAGAGTTGTTTGTAAGAAAGCTGATCTCAACCATAAACATTAGTCAATATGATAAGTTTTTGTATTGTAACTTACTGAATTCTTTTTTCACCAGAAAAAAAGTGGGAAACTTACATGTACTTTAGATTCGCAGCGGGTATGGCATTGGGAAGTTCACCATGTAAACTATTAAAACTAAGATCCCTATCCAAAACACCCAAAAAAAAAAAACAGTCTGCTTTTACTTAAAAGATTCAAAACTAAGAACAGAATACTATGTCTAAATTAGGACATAGATTACAAATTATTGTCTGTCTTTCTGGCCTTTAAATTGATACTCCCAAACGTACTCTACAGTTTCTACCAGATATTATATTATTGATGATTCATGCAATAACATACTTACAATATACGTAAGTCACTCATTCCCCAGATATATTCAGGTATTTCCCCATAAATGTTGCAGTTCTTCAGAATTCTACAAGATCAGTATCTGTTAGATCTAGGGATCAAGGAGTAACACCAATAAAAAAAAAGCAATGGACATACATTCGTAGGAAGCCAGTCATGCTCCTTAGATCAGGGAAGGCTTGACTTATTCCATTTATGTCACTGATCTTCCTGTACATACACACACCATTAAAATTGGATTGTTTCGCAGCAATAAAATAGTGTAAATAATTGAAGACACAGATGCCGTTAAGTATCCACTATAAGCAGAACAAGAAAGAAGCCCTTTAACTCACAGTTCTACCAGATTTTTCAAAACAGAGATGGATGATGGAATAGGCCCTTCAAGTCCACTAGCTTGCATTTCTCTGCTTGATTTCAAGAATCTTAATACCTTTTACTTAAATTCAGATTTTAAGAAGCCTAGAAAAAAACTTTTAAATATCAGGATCTTACAGTCTGGTAAGTTGCTTCCAGTTTTGAATGAAATCTGGTATGCTCCCATTGAAGTTGTTGTCATTTATCCTACTGCATTTTGTGATAAGAATATTCCACAGGTTAAAATTCCTCCAAAAACTTTGTGCAATTCAAATTTTCACAAGTCTGTGATATGTTTACAAGTCAGTTAGATTATTTAGATCACCAAGTTCTTGTGGCAAACTTCCACTCAGCCTATTGTAGGAGAGTTTCCTGCAAGAACAAATAACCATCTTCCTTAGAGAGAAAAAAAAAAAAAAGAAGAAGAAGAAGAAAGAAGAAGAAGAAAGAAGGAAGGAAGACAAAGAACATAGAAGTAAAGTTCTTTCTAAAAGAATGGCTAAGAATGCAAAGTTCAATAGAAGAAGCATCCTAACTTCCTTACAGAGTTTCAAGATTAACTAACTTCCCAAGGTCATGGGGTACTGCTCCAGAAAACTGGTTGATTTCAAGGTCCCTGAAGAGATAGATTCAGATTGCCAACAAATTACATCACTCTTTAAGTATTTGTCAGCTTACATGCAGAAAGAGTCAAAACACACATGCAAACATAAGTACATGAATATAGACATATAAATCATGGGCATCTGTACATTGGGAAGCAGAAGAAAACAATATTATCGACAAACTTGTAAAGGAAATTGCTTTGTGAGCATGGAAAGTATTTGAATATTTCTCATTGCAAATTCCAAATATAAAAAATAAAATCACAGTCTAGAAGACAGATACAATTTGCATCAAATAAAATCCTTAAAGACTATGGTTTGATGGAAAAAGAAAAAAAATCCTTAAAAGAATGAAAATAAGTTTTGCAAGTTGAGTAAACAAAAATAGAGTTTTTCTACATTTTCAATTAATAACCAGAGGACTGCTAAACTTACAAGTATCTAAGGCTGCTGATGTTCCCCAAATAGCTCGGAATATTCCCTGATAATCGGTTTCCAAAGGCAGAGCTGCATCAAAAGTTGCCTGGTTAACATGAAAATTAATGGTATGGCAGTTCCTGTTGACTATCCAAGTTATTGTAAATGGTCAAAGACTCTATAACTTGGTGATTAATAAGTTCAAGCTTTTCTTTCCTCAAATCAAGACATAAGGATGTGCTGAGTAAAACTGTAAAACCCAGAGAGGAAAGTGTCCTCTAGTCTGTAACTCAGCAAATATAGAAAGGAAAATAATTACAGAGAGAATAACTTACATGTACTCCAATTGCATTGAAGCCCATTCAGGCGGTATTGAACCATTTAGGTAGTTGTAGGCCAAATCTCTGCATGCCAAAAGAAAATACAGAGATATTTAAAATTTGCTGCTTTTCAACTTCTAATGAGCAAGATTTAATGGAAATAAATTTACTAAGCAATCTCTTTTTATTCATAGAAGCAATGTGCAGAGAGAGTTGTCCTGCTTACATTGTTTTAAGGAAAGGAAGCTGGACAAGTTCTGGTGGAAGTACTCCTGGAAGACTGTAATGCTGGAATATTCTGAAAATCCAAAAAATCCCAACATTGGTCATTATTTTCACCAATCTCCGTGCAAGAACCAAAATGATTTTCTTGTCTATATGTCTGTAATCCTTTTTGCATCTCCTCTTCTTCTACCCTAAGCTCATGAACATGCCTGCTAGAAACTAAAATTCACCATTTTCCTAACCTAACCATATGCAGGATCAGATCATCTTTTCAGGTGGTCTACTCTGCAAAGTATAAATTATTTGCCAATAACCAGTTTCATTTGAAAATGAATGATAAATAACAGTATCCTAATTCCTACACCTTTCCTTCCCCAACCAAGCAAACCCCATCTTTACTACAGAGCCAAGGCCTAAGTGATTCATCCTTTAGGCAAAAATGAAATGGATTCTGAATCCCATTTCTGAACCTTCTTTTAGTTAAACATACAATTATTGATCATCAACATTTCTGTTGAAGCATATTCTGTTAATATGGTGGAAGAAAACAAAAGCAATGCTTAATTAAGTATCATCTATTGCAGCATAAACACAAATACCATTCAGATATAAATATCCACGGTTTGAGCTTCCAACGTATTCATATTCATTTGGAAAATGGATTCAAGAGGAAACTTACAGCTCTGTGATGTGGCAGGTCTCGTTCTGGCAGCTGCAAGTGATGTTCATCACAGGAGCTGTTTCCTCAGTTGATGCAACATACTTTCGACAAACATTGGCATCAAAATCCCAGTCAGTACCCCCATTTTTTTGAGCAATTTGATCAGCTCCCATTGTTTTGGCAATTTGATTCAGAACATTCACTGCAATAACATTGAAATCTCACCGTTCCAACCTACTAAACAAGGTTAAAACAACAAATAACCCATAAGCAATAATTCATCATACATACCCTCATCTTGAGGCAGGCTAGCAGCATCAGTTCTCAGCAGCACTATCCAACTCAAAGCCAGAACTGATAAAAGAAGCGCTTGTTTAGAAAACATCTCAGAAACACAAGAATCTCTCAGCCTCTGCACCCAAGTCCTCCTCTTTTATAGTTACAGACAGTTTCTAAAATTCTCTGCTTAGCTCCTCATTCTTCTTTCCACATAGAAAAAAAGAACTAATGACCCAATTGCAAATACCAGTCAAAAGCTTGTGTAAAAAGAACTGCAGTTGGAACTCATCTTTGCATTGGGCCGCCAATGACCCACTTCCAGCTTATCCACACAACAATGCAGAAATATGATTTTCTGTATGACTTTCCTATCTGGGATGATGGTCAATTGCGTCGTTATCATGTCCTCCCTCTTCATTTTTGGTTGAGTTATTTTGATTTTTTTATTATTTCGATATAAATTTTAAAAAATAATATACTATATATATTTTTAAACCTAAGAGAATTTGGAGTGGGGAGGTTTTTTTTTTTAAATCATTTATGGGAATTAAATTTTTGACTATGAATAATGAATTATTGAAATTGAAGATCCAATTAAAAAAAAAATTATATAAATGAATAAAGTAATAAAAAAAGTAATATATTATATAAATAAATAATAATTAAATTTTTTTATAAAATAAAATCATTCAATAAAAATTTTAAAATAAAATAAAATTTATTAGACATGATCGACAGATGTTAGTAATAAATTATACATCCTATGTGGGCACTGCCATCCTCTCTCAAAAAGATATTTTTGTTTGACTATCAACATCAAATTTTGAATTTTTTTTTTCTTATTTAGTAATCAAATCGAAGTAGGTTTCCTAAACAGCACTCTTACAAGTAGCATGCAAATTTTGACGAGAAAAACACACCCAAAATGTCTTACACACGACAAAAATATTTATTGCTTTTATTCTCTTATCTTAAAATAATAATAATTATTTATTTTTAAATTTATTTTAAATTAATTATTATT